AGAAACGTCTAGCTTCGCGGTCTCTCTCTCTCTCATTTGGATGCACGTCTTGCCGCATTGTTTCTCTCTTATAGCCTCATTGTTTCTCTCTTATAACCTCATTGTTTCTCACTTATAACCTCATTGTTTCTAACTTATAACCTCATTGTTTCTCACTTATAACCTCATTGTTTCTCACTAATAACCTCATTATTTCTCACTAATAACTGAAGCAGCACATGTGTGTAGAGCTTGTATCAGCTCATCTGGTTTTGGCATGGAGAGATGCTAAATTGAATCTGCATGAGGGAGGAAATGATGTCACACCTATCACTAGGGCTGTGCAATATATCGAAATTATCGAAATATCGCAAATGTACATATCGCAATATGCATATAGCTATGGCTTGCAATATTTGGGGCCATGAACAAAAGACAAAGAGAAAATCACTCACTGCTCTTACCTAAATAACATTTGTAGCTTAAATAAGAATCAGTGCATATTGAATTCAAAGAGTAAATTCTAAGCAGTTTTTTATTTTTCCTTTTTATTGTTCAGTTCCTAAACTCATGTTAAAATGATTACACTAATGTTAAAATGACATTTTTATGTAATGCTCGAGTAAAACACTATCGTTCACTTTCAGAAGTTGTTGTAGGGGTGCTTTCTTATTAGAATCAGAATCCGAATGAGCTTTATTCACACCGCTTAAGTGCGCAAACACAAGGAATTTGTTGTGGTTTTACAGGAACTCTTGGTACATACATACATACATACATAAAAATAACCATATATATATGACACAAGATAGTTATAGAAGTTTACAGAACTGACTCAGCAACAGCTGAGTAAAACTGTTTCATCTGAGTATGTGGCACTTTAAGCATTATCTTAACACATATCAAATATCGCATTATTTAATGAGTTATCGCATATCGCATTTTTCTCCAATATTGCACAGCCCTAATATATATATATATATACACACACACACACACAGTATATAAAATAACTACATACCTGCATACAGTGGATGGCCAGACCAGGACCAGTATATAACTTCTTGTGGCATATATGACACTTAAAGTGCTTGGCCTTTTGATGCTGAATGAGAATCTTTTCATCATCAAAATCCCTGTTGCAGTACCTGAGTTTGCAGTTAAAGTCATATAAACAAGAACAAAATCATAACAAAACACCAAGAACAGCAGAAGGCACAGAAATTAACAACATTGTCAGCATAAGGATGCTTAAAACTTTAGTTGTTACACATTTCTTTCACTATTATACCCTTGTAAAGCAGTTCTCAAACTTTGCCCCACCCCAGCAAAAAAAATATTCAAAGGCCCCATGACACTTCCAGTTTTTAATGATTTGCTGAACAAGGATTAATAATAAGGATTTTTTTTCACAATCACAACTTCTACACGAGAATTTTTTAGAGCAATTTGTATATTCAATAAAATTCTCAAAAAGTTTATTCATTACAATTTCACAAAATTACAAAAAGTTATTATTTTACGTCAATTTCTTTTAAAATTATGATGCATTAAAAAAACGACATTGGGAATCGTGGTCCTGCAAAGAAAAAAAAAGTTGTTAAGGAGGTGAGTTATTGATTGGGAAATTTCTTTATTTTTATTTTTAACTACTGGATATTTGCTTGTTAAATGCTACCAATACAACGGTATATTTTGTTAGTGGAAGCGTGAAACTAATCCACATATATAAAATAATTGTCACTTAAATCTGATTCATAAAGTAACAGGTGTTCTCTTCGCGAACGTTCAAACAGAACGCACATTCGAATGGTTCTATGATGTAACGTTACAGAGAGGCAGCTCAGTATGTTGAGACGCGGCCTTGATATCAGAGAAACAACACATTAGCCATTCGTAAACAGGAAGTGGGCCAATCCCTACTAATAAACAATTCGAAAAATATAAAACAACGGTACGATCGCTTTTAAAGAAGGATACCAACACCAGGGCTTCATCTGCTTCTTCTTTTTTCTCCCCATGATTTATTTACCAGCCTATTCCGTGAACACCACACTGACTGACGCCTACCAAAACATTAGCAAAACTAAAATGGAGTAACGCTAAATAGGACATGACGACGGCTTTTTCCACGCACTGACACCGCATCACAAGGAATACCGCCACCAACTGGACAGGAGGTGCACAACTTGGAATCTGGTTGGTGTTTAAATGATAGCAATAGTAAAAAAAAATAAAAATAAGGAAGAGCTGAACACGCAGCGCCAGTTAAGGGGGGGGGGGGGGGGGAAAATAAAATAAAATAAAAAACTATTTAAAAAAAATTATTTACTTAATTCAGTCATTCATTCATTTATAATTCTGCATAACTGCACATTAATCCTTATTTCACTTTCCTTCGTCATCACTTAGTCACCCTTTATCAAAATAGGAAGGATATAAAACTTAAATATATAGTTCTGAGTTGACCTCACCATTGTTTTATGGCATTATTTAATCAGTGCTATCTGCTTTAATAGCCTTTTGACTGTGATGACATCATCTGAAAACAAATATTGTTTTAGATAAAGTCAAATATGAGTAAAATTTTATTATTTTATTTTGTTTGACCTACATTTAACTTTAAAGCTCAGCATGTTTAATGTTTTATTAAAAACAAGCCTGATTTGAGAAAAACAGCAAGATAAATGGAAGTAAGAATTTTTTTTTTTGGCAACCCAAGCGTCACAGAATTAATTTTTTTTATCATTGTATAAGTTTGATTTCGTTTGATTTTCATTTATTTATTTGTAATGTTTTAATGAAGTCTCTTGTGCTAACCAAGGCTGCATTTATTAGATCAAAAAAAGCAAGCAGGGAATCATTTCCAGACTGGCTCAATAAAAACAGCATGCACATCTTATAAAGTGAATACAGCATGTCAAGGCACACTACTCTCAATGCAATGCATTCAAGCAAAAAACAAAACAAAAAGTAAATTCAGTTCCAAAATACAATCTTCAGAGGTAATTATTTTTCTAAGATAAGCTATAAATACATATCTCAAATAACTACATTCAAACAGTATTTATACCTAAAATCATATTTCATATTCAAAATGAAAGGCAGGCATTTTTATATTCAGACTCAACTAAATCTGCATTAGATGCAACTACCCAGTTCAATTATTTGAAAAAAAAAATAATAATGTATAATGTGTTTCTGATAAACAGAGTTGGGTAACAGCAGTCATGATTTATGTTAAACACACATTTCTTGTCAGCTTTAAATATAACCGTGCTTTGCATATTTCTTATATGGATTAGAGCTTTCGAAACACATAAAACATGCAAATTGTGAAACCACTTAAATCACTGACAGCATGCACTACCTGTGGCTCAAAAGCCCTTTGTGTATAGATTTATAAATTACTTTCAGACACATTTTTTAGCATTCACCACAGCACATTCCTTAATAAACACAAATAATAAACTCCCCTTTTGATCTAATACCCTTGTTGTTGCTCCATTTGCAAGTTGTTCAAGGCAGTTATTTATACCATTTACTTCATTTTAACACTAAATCCACTTTAACAATGAAGACTGAAATATTTGAAAAGGCTAAAACTGTAAAAAGGTAGCAAAGCAGCAGAGATGTCATAAAAGAACATCACAGGTCAGTTTAAGATATAAATTCAACAATCATTTGAAGAGTGCATATCCTTTGATCATTAAAGTGTAGCAAATAGCATGCTTACCTCTCACGGACCTTTACAAAAATATATGAGCTGTACAACAGTGTAAATCCCTGCTGAAACATGCATGCTTTTAATCATTCGGAAATGGTATGAAACCCACGCGTACATTAAAACACCTTCTTCAACATGTTGGTCAGTTTTAGGAGGGAAACTTTGGTTGTCATTTAAAAAAAAAAAAACTTTGTTAGTCCTCCTACAAATACTGCAATAGGCCCAACATGTCACCATCACTCCCTATCTTTAGGTATCTTTCTTTACACAATTACCCCACATTTATCACCACGGACATAACATTACATTCCTTGTAAAATGAAAACACCTTTGCAGATAAGTTGTTTATGTGAAACTGCAGGTAAATAGATGTAATTCAGTAAACCTGAGATCTCCAAGCTGCCAGTCACAGAGAAACACTCTGAACACAACCTCAGCCCAACATTATCCTTCCATCCTATAAAAGTATAAATTGCCATGGGAATGTGATTTGCGTACAATGTAGAGGTTTTTAGGTCATTCATTGTCTATGTCTTCTTTATTCTGTTATCTAGGGGTCCTCTGTGCCTCCCTAAGGCTCTTTTTACGAGGTTCAGAAGTTTCATCGTCCTCTTTTTCATACAGGTTCTCTCTTTCTTTTTCACTCTGATTCTGTCTTAGTTTAAGATCCCACTCCCAGCGCTTTCTTCATATGCTCATAAACCACATAAGAGATGCTAACTGCAGGAATGACTTTGAGGAAATTGGGGGCAATGCCACGGTAAAGTCCAGAAACGCCTTCATGGGACACAATGTGCTTGAACTGGCCAACCATTGACAGCTGAGGTGCGCCATCTGCTGAGGCTTTTAGGAAGAAAGGAAGGAGGAGTGAGGTTAGAATTTCATTTTGTACGTGTGTGTGTGTTTTCATTGTTGTGAACATATTGTGCTTCTTAAAGAATCACAAAATAAGCAGAATGATATGTAATAAGAATTCTGTGAATCTGTTTCGTCTCGCTCACCCTGAGCCTGCATGCGTGTGCGGATTAAAGCCAGCGGGTAACTAGCCAGCTGCCCACATGTGCTGGACACAGTGCCACATCCAAGAAGCACCAGGACGCCAGGATCAGCCGAGCCCATGCAGTACCTCTGTAGCCAAGCGTTCTTTAGAGTCTGTTGAAATAACAGACAGAAAAGAGCAATATAGATAGATTTTAGATAGATTTTTAAATCTTTTTCAAAATATACAAAAAATATATTGTTAATATAGATGTTACATCATATTTATTTTTGATACATTTTAGTTATTATATTTCCTCATATTTTTGGCAATTTTTAAGAAAATATTTTCAATCTAAAATATGTATATTGTCCAAAACACACATATATATCTATATAAGATATTAAAGGTGATTTTCTCAATATGTTTTTTTTTTTTTTGCACCCTCAGATTCCAGATGTTCAAATAGTTGTATCTCGGCCAAATATTGTCCTATCCTAACAAACCATACATCAATGGAAATCTTATTTATTCAGCTTTCAGATGATGTATACATCTCAATTAAAAAAAAATTGACACTTAAGACTGGTTTTGTGGTCCAGGGTCCAAGATATATATATATCTTTCCTTTTAAAATGCATTTTGTATTTACTCAAATTGTATTTTAAAATTGGAAATGTGTTTTTTTTGTAATATATTCTGGCATTTGAAGTGAAGATCTACACAAATATATATTCAGTTTGACAGAAGCCATGCTGTGTACAATATACCATCTTTCAAAAGGGGTCAGTAATATTTTTCAGTGTTTTCAAAAGAAGTCTCTTATGCTCACCAAGGCTGTATTAAATATACATATAATATATAATATGTATCAAAAAATAAACAATATTGTGAACTATTACAGGTGCATCTCAATAAATTAGAATGTCGCCCTTCACAAGGAGGGTAAGCCACAAACTTTCATTGCCAAAGAAGCTGGCTGTTCACAGAGTGCTGTATCCAAGCATGTTGACAGAAAGTTGAGTGGAAGGAAAAAGTGACAAAATCGATTCAAGAATTTGAGTGAACTTTACAAGGAATGGACTGAGGCTGGGGTCAAGGTATCAAGAGCCACCACACACAGACGTGTCAAGGCATTTGGCTACAGTTGTCGTATTCCTCTTTTTAAGCCACTCCTGAACCACAGACAACGTCAGAGGCGTCTTACCTGGGCTAAGGAGCAGAAGAACTGGACTGTTGCCCAGTGGTCCAAAGTCTTCTTTTCAGATGAGAGCAAGTTTTGTATTTCAGTTGGAAACTAGGGTGGAGAAGCTCATAGCCCACGTTGCTTGAAGTCCAGTGTTAAGTTTCCACAGTTTGTGATGATTTGGGGTGCAATGTCATCTGCTGGGGTTGGTCCATTGTGTTTTTTGAAAACCGACGTCACTGCACCCGTTTACCAAGAGATTTTGGAGCACTTCATGCTTCCTTCTGCTGACCAGCTTTTTGAAGATGCTGATTTCATTTTCCAGCAGGATTTGGCACCTGCCCACACTTCCAAAAGCACCAAAAGTTGGTTAAATGATCATGGTGTTGGTGTGCTTGACTGGCCAGCAAACTCATCAGACCTGAACCCCATAGAGAATCTATGGTGTATTGTCAAGAGGAAAATGAGAAACAAGAGACCAAGAAATGCAGATGAGCTGAAGGCCACTGTCAAGGAAACCTGGGCTTCCATACCACCTCAGCAGTGCCACAAACTGATCACCTCCATGCCATGCCGAATTGAGGCAGTAATTAAAGCAAAAGGAGCCCCTACCAAGTATTGAGTACATGTACAGTAAATGAACATACTTTCCAGAAAGCCAACAATTCACAAAAATTTTTTTTTTTTTATTGGTCTTATGAAGTATTCTGATTTGTTGAGATAGTGAATTGGTGGGTTTTTGTTAAATGTGAGCCAAAATCATCACAATTAAAAGAACCAAAGACTTAAACTACTTCAGTCTGTGTGCACTGAATTTATTTAATACACGAGTTTCACAATTTGAGTTGAATTACTGAAATAAATGAACTTTTCCACGACATTCTAATTTATTGAGATGCACCTGTATTACAATATTATATTATTACTTTTTCCTTTTTTGTATATTTTACAGTAATGTACTTTAGTATATTTAGTATATTACTTTAGTATACTTCAATTTATTTAATTTCATTGAATTCAGTGTCACATGATCCTTCAAAAATTCATTCTAATTTGCTGCCTTGTGCTGCTTAATATTTTTGTGGAAGCCATGGCACTTTTTTCAGGATTCTTTAATGAATAGAGTGCTCAAAAACAGCATTTATATAAAAATAAATCTTTTGTAACATTATAACTGTATTTGCTTTCAGTATTGTAAACTGTATTTGCATTTAGGGGAAGTCGTGGCCTAATGGTTAGAGAGTCTGACTCGTAACCCAAAGGTTGCGGGTTCGAGTCTCGTACCGGCAGGGATTGTAGGTGGGGGGGGGAGTGAATGTACAGCGCTCTTATTCCTAGTATGGATAACCATACTTGGCCACATGTCACGTAATCAATTCAATGTATCCTTGGCCAAATAAAATGATTGCTTCACCACCTGAAAAGATCTGTGAGTTGTAAGAGGAGACCATAGAACACAACAATGTAAATACATAACATATCATTTAACCGACCATAGCAACTGAGAACGATGAATTCCTAGAGCTTGACAGTGACAGCAGGGATTCACAAACATTTAAATGTGTTAAAATACACACACAGCCTACCTCATACACAGCCAGATCGATGCCAGCATACGGGATGATGCCAAGTGTGTTGGGCACATAGCCTTTGTAGAACGTGCGCACTCCTTCTTTACGCAGTATCTGTTTGGCACAGTCTGCCATGCCAGAATATTGTCCTGTCTTCCGCAGGGTCAGACGCGTCTTCAACACCTGGGAAGCAAGGAGGAATAGAGTAACAATATACAGATTTTTAAAAATTAAGAGTATAGAGCAATGTACTGGTCACTGGTAACTTCAAGCTGCAGCAGCTCCTTCCAGCATAAATAAATGGAGGACTTAGCTTCCAAAATGTGATGCTGATCTGCCTCATTAAATACATATTAGAAGCCAGAAAATAAGCTTCTTTTCTGCATTTAAACCTACCAGAATAGAAAGACAATTTGTCATGTATGTGTCAACCAGGCCCAGTTCATTTTTGACTCTTTTTTTGTGCATTTAGAACAACATGTGTTAACAGGCAAACAGCAATTAGGAACAACTTTTGTTTAACAACTTCCCGTTACATGACTCTCTGGTATTTCTACTTTACGTTAGCAGCTATGAGCATTACTTGAGATAACAGATACTTTTACAGCCAGACATTATATGAGCAAGATCACTAAAGGAATGTTCCAGGTCCAATACAAGATTTAATTTGATAATCCAAATCATCTTTCTAGACATCAATATTACTACATAGTTATACTTTTTAAAAAAAGTGTTTATTTTATTATTTATTACCTTGCCATTGTAAGTGTCATACTCAACCTATTTTTTACCCATAAAAATGCAAAACACAAGTTGAATATTTTTGGACATATCTGTTATACTATATTATATCTACACTACCATTCTGTAAGTTTGGATTCCGTTTGATTTTCATTTATTTATTTTTAATGTTTTAATGAAGTCTCTTGTGCTCACCAAGGCTGCATTTATTAGATCAAAAATACAGTAAAAACATGAATATTGTGAAAAATATTACAATTTAAAATAACTGTTTTCTATGTTTTAAAAATGTCATTTATTCATGTGATACAAAGCTGAAGTTTCAGCAGTTATTACTCCAGTTTTCAGTGTCACATGATCCTTCAGAAATATTTCTTATTATCAATGTTAAAAACTTGTTTAATATTTTTGTCGACACCATGATCTATTTTTTTTTATTTTTTATTCTTTGATGAACAGAAACTGCAAAAGAACTGTATTTATTTAAAATAGAAACCTTTATCTAGTTTACTGTACTAATGTCAATCTATAATTGTAATTAAAATGATAATTTATAGACATCAGCTTGACAGCTTATTCAGACATTTTCCATGTCCATTTTCTAACTCTTGCACAGATCTTTCAGTTTATATCCATCTACTTTATACAATATCTGTAGAAGTGCTTATGATAAAAAAAGACGATAAGTACAGAACTAAGGCAACTGAATTCTTTAGATCTTATCTTTATAGAGCTATTTAGTCATGACGTCAATGTGTAGGCCAACCCAGAATGCTAATTTGCCATGGATTCCCTCAGGAATTTCTAATGGGCTTTTAGAAAGCCAGTTTTCGATTTACAGTATGGGTGGAATAAGGTCTGTGGTTACATTACTTATAGAGCTGAAAAGTGAAAGTCTGTTGATGTCTCTCACTTCCTCCTCCTCTCTCACCTCCATGGGGTAGATGATAGTCTGAGCTGTAGCTCCTGCCAGTGATCCAGCAATGAAGCGTTCCTGAACTCTTAGAGAGCCACCCTCCTTACTGCCTCTGATCAGCCATTTGATCTACACAAGACATTTATTATAGTTAACTTGCATTAGACAGTCTGCCACTCAGGCCTAGTTAAAAACAGAGTGGCTACTGGATTCTGCTTTGTTTACCTGCTCATATGCCATGAATTTGATAGCTGACTCCGGCGCAATTTTGAGGACATTGATGCCGTTGCCTCTCCAAAGGGACCTCAATCCTCCTTCCTGCACCATTCCCCGCAAGCCACCAAACAAACTCACACCACTGGAGCCATGGACCTGTTGAAAATCCACTTTGAGTATTGTACTTTTCGCAACAGAACTGCAAATGTAAGATTTATTTATTTCTGTTGAGTTTATTTGATACAACAATAACTGATAGAAACAATAAAGCTTCAATCAAATACTTTTAAGAGTTGACCGAACCTGAAGGAAAACTTTAAGACGGTCGAGAGGAGCAGTTCCCGTTCGCGATACGGCTCCTGCCATTGCCCCGGCCACTAGCTGTCTCCACACCACACCTGAACGCCGCTCTTTCTCTGAGAACTCATCCGGCACAGTCAGTTGCTCTCCAATGTCCAACATCTGAAACACATACATTATAGACTCAAAAGACAGGTAAAGTTTACATTCCTAAATTTCTATGAATATCAGGCCTACAATCTAATTTCTGAAAAGTGCTGGAAGTAGACCAGAGAGTGTTTCCAGTAGTGGGCGATGTCCTCCATGTTGTGCAAGGGGTTAAACAGGAAGTGGTCCCGCCACTCGTTCCAGTCAATGGTCATAGTGCCATCTCTGTCTATGCTGACACACAAAGGGAATATAAAATATATAGTTAAAACAAGTGTTTGTTTTCTATGCCCATTGAAACTATGTGTGACTCAACATATGGGTGCTTCACAGCAACATCTCAAACTCCTTTGAAAGCACAGCCAGAGTGGGAGGTACGCGTGTAGGCTACATGACATTGATTAAGCACTAAAAAAATGAAAAAACACAGTGTTTTGTGAAAAGCTGAAGTGCTCTAACCTCTGCAGGATTCTGGAGGCTTGCTCTGTGGATACATTCACTCCAAGGCTGCGCAAGGAGAGCTGAATTTCTCCAACATCTATGTGACCTAAAATCATAAAATACTCCAATGCTTATTCCGTACATGGGCAGCAAAGGATACACTATTGTTCAAAAGTTTAGGGTCACTAAGTTTTTTTAATGTTTTTGACAGACGTCTCTTATGCTCACCATGGTTGCATTTATTGAATGTAAACATTGTAAAATATTATTACTATTTAAAACAACTGTTTTCTACTTTAATATATTTTGAATGTCATTTATTCCTGTGATGCAAAGCTGAATTTTCAGCATCATTTCTCCAGTCCTCATTCATGTCACATTATCCTCTAGAAATCTTTCTAATATGCTGATTTGCTGATAAAGAGACATTTCTTATTACTATCAATGTTAAAAACAGTTGTGCTGCTTAATATCTTTGTGGAAACCATTATACATTTTTTTGGGCTTCAATGATGAATAAAAAGTTCAAAAGAACAGCATTTATTTTCAAATAGAAGTCTTTTGTAACATTACAAAATTATAAATGTCTCTACTGCCCTTTTTGATCACTTCAACGCATCCATGCTAAATGAAAATATTAATTTCTCTAACAAAAGAAAACTTCCTGACCCCAGACTGAATGATAGTATGGCATATACTACAAGACAGAGAACCACAAAGGTTCTGATAATTCTAACAAACACTTTAAAAGCAATCATGCAAAGTGGAAATATGCATTTTCCTGGAACTATTGTGAGGTTGCAGTTACAGTGGTAAGATTATAATTTGTGAAAAGATCATCCAGACCATCGTTGTTGCGGTCCAGGCTGCGGAACATGAGTCTGAGCTCTTTCTCGTGTGTGCGCAGATACTGTGTGAACTCCTTAAAGTCCAGCTGGCCGTCATGATTGGTGTCACTCACACGTACAATCTAAGGGGTGGAGGAAGTGAAGAGTGCACGTTTAAGGGCACGAATGTGAGGGTTGGAGGAGTTATACGTGCACTTTATTTAACTGTAGCCATGTCTATGTAGAATGTGGAACAAAGAGAAACTAACAGAAAACAAAAAGGAGAGAGAGGAGGCATTGCTCTAAGCTTACAGATGCAAGGTTTCTGTTTGTGTGCAAAGCCCTGCCAGCAGTATGGCGACTCCAATCGCAAACACATTGTGAACTAGAGCTAATCTCTCCTCTTGCATCACAGCACATGACAAACAGTCACACAACCCAACAGCACAGGTATACCCATGGCACATAGTGTCACTCTCCCCAAGGAAACTTGGAGTCTCCAAGTTACGTTCATAATGGCACTTTCATGGTTTCATCCTTAGCTACCTGCTGAAGTAATCGTCACAACACAACATATGCACTGTCTTGTAAGCCGCTTCAGCAGGAAGGAGTATGTTTGTTTACAACATGACTAAAGATGTGTTTCGTGTGCTAACATGCTGCAAGTTAAAGAAAAATGTCTGTTAAATTGCATTATAGAATAATGCATAGAATAAGATATGGTCTCAATCATCATACTGTATGAGGCCTTACTGCCGATTTGTAAAGATGGTTTCAGTGGAACCAATACAACTATACAGACTATACAAAAAATTGCAGATCAAGTACACTTGCAGTTCCTCAGTAGCACTTACAGTCCTCCACTCAATCAGTTTAAACCAGTGGTGCAGATTTATTTCTGCAGTTTATGATTGCAGCACCTGTGACATCACTTTATAAAATAGTAGGGGATTTCAGTAATCAAATTTACTATGTGGATCAAATTTGCCACCACAAATAATTGTTGTTATATATGCTAATAATATCTAAAAACATAACAGACAGTGTGCATGTTTTATTTTAGTGTTCTATGCAGTCCAGTAGAACTACAAGTGTTACAACTGCAACTCTCTGCATCTGGGCAGCTATAGCATAATACTTGAACTTGAACATGTATAAAAACATTATTGGTAACACGTTAGTATAGAGACCAATTCTCACTATTAACTAGTTGTTTATTTGCATGCCTATTATTGACATATTGGCTGTTTATTAGCATTTAAAGCACATATTCTGCATGACCCAGCGCCTTCACGACATGGCGGCAGTGGCAACAACAATACTACAGCGAGAATAAAAGTTACGCCTTCTTTCTTTGCGTGAACATTTGGGCGGCGTTATGCAAATCTTCCCACACAGTGACGTAGACATGTGGGGGCGTGTTAGAACGAGCCATTTTAGGAGGGCGTGGACAAGTCTTAACTTTTATAAAGAATATCTCTTTGGATTTGAGACTTTAGTCTTTGCAACTTTACAGATCTTCTTTATGCACCAAGAGCTTGTAACACTCCAAAGAGAAAGGAAAAATTGAAATTGCATCATATGACCCCTTTAATGGTTTGATAATAGCGAGAATTGGACCTTAAAATAAATTGTGTGACCTCATTATTTTATCACATTAACAAAAGAACGTGCTGATAGATGTTAATTTAACTTAATTTTAAAATGCTCACAAAGTAAGTTATAAAAGCAGATGTAAAATAATTACACATGTAACATAGACCCGGCTAGAACAAGGAGAGTGATACAACATTGTGAAAGGGCGTTCCTGTAGCGATACCAGTACAATATCACACGGTTCTCAACCTATCAGATTTGAGAACCAGAACGAACTGTTGTATAAACATGTATAGTGAAGGATGGAGTTCATATGATTAGCTCATTGGCTAAACCAGTGGTTCTCAAACTTTTTGACTGGAAGGCCAACACATTTTCCGAAGTGAGGCCCCTTAGGATAATTATGACAAGCAGCTTGTTTTTTGTTAATATATTGCAGTACTGTGATTAATTAATTTAATATATTGATGATATATACGAAGATATATTTTGTGATGTCAGAAGTTATATCCAGTTTTCAGTGCAAACCACTGGGTTAGACCGCTGACGTCACATCTCACCCTGCGATACAACACTTTCCAGTCTCCCTACCCAAGCAACGAAATTTGACTTTTTAGTCTGGAGGTTTGTCAGTATTGCAGCGTGGATAGAGAAGTCTAACTCTTAAATAAATTACACGGGATCATTTGTCCTTGGTCGCAGACACGACAGTATTCTACAGGGTAAATTTCACTCTTGCTAAGAGTAGGCATGACAAAAACCACACGGTTTATAAGTTCATGATGTGAAAATTAACCATGGTTTTATTATAGTAAAAGTGTAGTAACCATGTTTTTTTGGCGCATTTATTACCATTTGTATAACCAGTTTTACTACAAAAACCATGGATAAACTATGGTTAGTGTAGCAAGACCATGGTTAATTTGTGGTTACCATGATTTAACTATAATAACCATGTTTTTTTGTTTTTATTTGTAGTAAAACCATGGTTAATTTTCGTAAGGGGTGGTCTTACTTACCAAAAATGAGACCCGATAGCCTATGTTAGGGTTTCATATGGCTGCAATTCACCGCACTTTAAAGCTCATCTCCCAGAAATGAACATGTTTATGGTGAACAACTATTAACTTCCCAAAGTAAGCGACCCACCTCGTCCACCTCACTGCGAACGATCCCCCAGGCGGTCAATCCGGTGCGCAGCTCATTCACATCGACCCTGCCATCTTTATTTAGATCCAGTTGATCGAACAGCTCGGCCCATCGTTTCTCCTGCTCTGGATCGGACACCCCGTTATCTTGACAGCGAGCCCATGTCCAACACGAAGGGAACCGACTCCTCGCTTCGCCCATATGAAACAGTTCTCGGTGAATACGGGGCAGATTTGTCCTCGAGAGTCAGAGCAGGCAGAGCTGTATTAGGTAGAATAACTGCATCCTACCTCCCAAAATACAGGTAGCCTACTTCTTCAGCAAAGACCACTTTGAGGATTTATGGATTGAGGTAAATAAAAACTGCTAAATCTTGATATATAGCCTCGTTCACTGTAGCCTGTGCCGATTACGGCAGAGTTAATCCAGGAAGTATTAAACCTTTGCCCCTCTGGCTAGAATAATAATCCCTGTGTCTGTTCCACCGGTCCTCTCAAACCCAGCTCCATCAGCTCATATCACACGAAGAGCAGGCGCCGCATGCACCGGTTACCGCATCGCAGCGCGACGGAGATCTCCGCATCCAAACGCTCAGCTATCGCTCGCACTAGGTGTACGAGTCGCATCTTTTGCTCATTTTACCGCGGTGTGCAGGATGAGTGCCGTCGCCGCTGCACAGATCTTAAGGGAAGGGCTGGGTGTCCCAACTCTATTAAAGCGCCCCGAGGAGCGACATCGTGGCATGGACTGCCTATTTACGAGCAGTGTGCCAATTATTCTCTGGCTTTTACGTCGGTCTGTTTTTATGGGTTCGTCTTGTACCCCTCGCACATTTCGCACAACGGTCAATTTAGATGTTTGTGATATTTAAAACTATAGATAATTACAATAGGCTATCTTGTTTTACCGAATGATAGGAAAAGCGCTTCAGCGGCGTGTTGCTATAGTAACCTCCTCAGGTGAAAGCTGTCTAGGGAGCGCCATAGTGAGCGCGCGGAGATGATTAACTTTCAAGCTTTATTACTTTTGTGATTTTCTAGAACCTTGTATTGTAAACACAGTTACAACGCTAAAATATTATACCTGTATCAAATATATGCAAAAAAGCCCCCTTCACATCTATCCCTTGTTTGAAAACCTCTGTTGTCTCCCATAGTCTACTAGGCTATTGTTCTTTCGATTAACTCTTATGAAAAGTAACCATGGTTTCACTACAAATTAAACCAAAAAAGAAAAACATGGTTACTGTAGTTAAACCATGGTAACCACAAATTAATCATGGTTTTGCTACACTAATTATAGTTTAACCATGGTACTAGTAGTAAAACTTTGGTTATACAAATAGTAGGCTAATCAATATGCCAAAAAACCTGGTTACTACACTTTTAATATAATTTTTGTAAGGGAACTGAGTGCATCATCCAGGTATTTCAAGTTCAATCTAATTATATCACTCAAACAAAACTGTAACCAAGTACATTTTCATACACAGAACAATTAGGCCTACAATTCCTTATTTATTGTCTTTTATCAGGCAAATAATTTAAAAGCACAACACTTTGCTGAATAGGGTGTGCTTTGGGTGCAGGTGACATACACCCTCTGTAGTGTGATGCTGTGGGATGAATGGAAACTACTGAGTCAACACTTGCAGGATAGTGCAAGATTAGAGAGAACCCATTGAAGGATTTTGTTATGACGATAAATATGTCTCATGGGTTGCGTTGAATTTAAGGTCAACCTCAAACAAAGAAACGGACTGATATAAAATGAATTTAATTACATGTATTGGTGTTACGGAATTTGTGTTAACATACTGTTTTTTCTTATTAATGGTAAATATATTTACAGATACAAATGTATGCATGATATAGTTACTGTATCCAATTATACTGAATTAATTCAATTATGTATCATGTGCAACACAGAGAATAGGGTCTTTACCTGAGCCCCTTAAATTTCTGTCATAGTTAACAGTGCAGTGTGAATGGCAAGGAGTCAATAGCTCTGCTTGTATTGCAACTCTGTTCATTTACAGTAGTTTAAGCCACTAGACTACAATAGACAACTAAAAAAACAGCCTACTCATGGTTTAAAAAAAAAAAACACATCAGAGAACTGAACTTCAAATCTTTGGCAGGAGCGATGAACCTGTCACCAGCAGCAGTGCTTTGATACGAAACAAAAGAAGGGGGTGTTTTTGTGCTGTGTATTTCTGAGCCATACTAAGCTCTCGTTTACAAACGTTTATTTGATTGGTGTTGAAAGGAGAAAGTACAAAGGTAGACAATCCCAGACGGTCATTCTTGGCACAGCCCACACGAGGTTTTCTGGCTATGAAAAATGATTTCTCTCAATCACACTCCCGACTCCCACATAAAACCATCTAAAGGACTTTATTCTCCTGTTCAGTATTTTCTGATTTGTCGTGGTTGCACCATCACAGCCATCTAAGGCATACCAGACAGAGCTCTCCACACTTCAGGTTACATTAATAGACAGAGGGACAAGAAACATGAAGTGTCCCATAGTGCTTTGCAGGCAAGCATGCAGAGATTATTTTGCCTGTTCTTTTCAGCATGTATCCAGGGCAGCCTCCTCTGGCACTGAATATCACCACCTGTGAGCAGAGACACACGCAGACTGAACAAACAAAGAGCAAATCAGTATTCATAAATGTGTGTTAATCATTCATAGTCAATTTATGTATCTTATCATGATAGTTATAAAATGAATTTGCTTCCAGTTCAATCCCTTTTTAGCAAACAAAAGCTCAGTTAATGTTTACTAGTATGGTCCAGGGCTAATATGGTACAGATTTCCTGGTACAAGTAATCCATTTACATAATTTATATTTCTTAAATATTGTTAATATGTAACAGTTCAGGGATCCTGAGAGTTGTGTTTAAAATTATTGCTCAACAATAGCTTTATGGCAGAGACGAATTACTGCTGTTTACTGTGGTCAAAATGATGTCACACATCCCTGGCCACATTCAAAATAGGATGAAATGAAAATAATGGCTGCTTTGCATGCCTCACATCCACCTCTCAGGGCACATAGATCAGTTTGCTGCTTCATAATGCCTCTAAATTAGACAAATTGTTTAAAACCAAACTAAAAGTGATTATCAACAACCAGTAGATTTCTGCACTTGAGAATGGCGTTTCATTTTTTTCTAGCTAGTAATAGTTATTACACAAAAGGCCACAAGGGGGATCCAAGCTATAGACAGTATACTGATATTGTGACGTTGAAAACAGGCTGGAGGAAGATAAAAAGCTTAAGCACTTTTCCATCAACAAACTTCAAGTATAATGTCACAGCTTTATTAAAATATGTTAATTATTATGAAAAGTTTGAAGTCAGTTTTTTAAGAAGAAATTAATACTTTACTAATACTAATAGGCTACATTAAATTGTTAAAAAAAAGTCACAATAAAGACTTTCATAATGATACAAAAGATTTCTATTTCAAGTAAATGTTGTTCTTTTAACTTTCTATTCATCAAAGTATCCTGAAAATATATCACGGTTTCCACAAAATATTAAGCAGCACAACTGTTTTCAACATTGACGATAATAAGAACTCAGCAAATCATCATATTGTAATGATTTCTGAAGGTTCAAGTGACACTAAGCCTGGAGCAATGATGCTGAAAATTCAGCTTTGACATCACAGGAATAAAATATGTTTGAATATATATTAAAATAGACAAGTAATTAAACAATATTACTCAATATTTCTGTTTTTAATGTAGTTTTTTGATCAGATAAATGCAACCTTGGCAAGCACAAGGGACTTCTTTCAAAAGCATTACTTTTTTTTTTACCAACCTCATAGCTTTAAACAGTATAATATAATATGTTTATTGTTAATTGCCAGTATTTTGATTGAAGATGCCTGCCAACTTGTCGTTGATCATATTCAACACAGATCCTTCAAGGACACAAACAGTAATAAAACCTGGTTTTCATCTGCTTTTATAGTAAGACTGTGGAAACTAGAAGTTAAAATCAATGGTGTGTATTTGAAGACATAAAACACAGGGAACACGCTACATAAACAATTATTTTAGAGCATAAAGTGTGGCTAATGGACCAGAGAGCAATGGAAAAGATAATGAATTGAGAAGAGAAAAAAAAACCCTCTTGATTATCAGCAGCGTGTTGCGCAGTGGCCTCAGCATGGGGTTCATCAGCAGACTGGATGGAGAAGTTCTGCCTTTCATCCAAAGAGTTCTTTGAGGGGAGAGAGAAGATGAAACATGCCTAAGGGAGCCTGTGAGGCTGGGCTAATCTGGAGCATCAGTGAGGAAATTGAGGCCTGCTGATTACCATGCTGCTGCCTCTCTCTCATTATCTCCCTCCTCATTTAACAGCCCTCGGCCCTCAAAGCTCCTCAGCGTGAGTGGGTGAGATACTGTTTCAACTGCAGGCTCTCCACGCTCTCTGTTCTCACAGCCCTCACATTTTATTATGCCAAGTGCACCCATAAAAGCTCAAATAGAGATCCAGTGCTTCTGGATTACAAGTTTTGGCGATTGAGGAAGCCACTTGGTCTTATGTTTTTCATGGGGTAAAAGTGCGACTCTGAAACACGTATGTGTGTATTATGATATCAGTAAAGTCTAAAAATGACCAGGAGGTGGCGGTAATGAACTGGTATTTCCTCACTTGGATGCGTCCGCTGTGGATTTCATTTATGAAAGGGAGGGCCAAGCACGAGACAAACCATTAAGTTGACTTATGACCTTCATTATTGACTTTATTATTTTGCATGCTGCTCCTGCGATCCATCAGCAACGCTTAGCTTCTTGCTTTGCTGCGTCTCCTGAAGTTACAATGGCTGTTTGGTACAAGACCACATAGGATTTACAGCTCTGACCCACATCTACCACAGTCCAGTGCCTCAGGCAGGCACAGATGCTCCAAGATGCCAATCCAGAACGCACGCCAAAAGCTCGGGGAGAGAATGAGAGGATGAAAGGGGTGGGAGTATGTGTGATGGCCGTGACAAACAGGTGGTACCTTGGCTGTCAGGTAGTAGTGCCGTGTCTCCAGTCTGTTTAGTTTGGACAGCAGCCAGTTTAAATTCTCCTTTAGTGAGGCGTCCAAGTATGAGGCACATAAAAACAGGAAGAACAAAATGCCTTTCATATCATGAAAGCCAGCAAGAGCACATGTCGGTCGAAATCTGAGCAAACTCATCTACATCATTCCCTTATTAACCTTAATAGGATACAGTAATTCCATTTCTTTAACCAGCTAAAACGTCACACTTCACAAATCACAGCTTGCATATGTGACCCAGCCCAGTGAGGGATCAATAGCTAATTCACTTCCAGTCTTTGGAAATGTTGAATCTATAGCCAACTATAAATCAAACCTGACCGAGAGACATCACATTTATAAAGTGGCTGAGTGTTTTTCATCATGATTGGCATTGTGTTAATGTAATAGATCATGTTGAGCTATGATGTGAATGAGCGGTATCATCAGCTCTGAATGTTTGTGACATTTCTTAGGTTTAGAAACAGAGTCTTCGTGAC